GGGTGGGGACCGGGCATGGAGACCCCGGGGCTGAGCTCCCGCGGCTGCGGGCCCCGGCCGCGTCCCGGCGGAGGAGTCGACGAGGGCCCGGGCGCGCGTTCCCATCGCGGGCCAACTCCTGGCGCAGGTGGATGGCAGCCAGGTGCCCCCGCAGGAGACGGTTCTGCGCACCGCGAGGGGAGGCGCAGCCGAGAGAAAGCCCCCTTCCCGCCGGCCAGCAGGCCCGGGCTCCCTTCGTCCTCTGCCCTCTGAAGTGTGCTCTCGGTCCCCAGGGCATTCCGGGCCCCAGCCCTGAGCCGGGCCACCCGCCCTAGTTGGGGGAGAGGGCCCCGCGAGGGACGTTTTAGAAATCATCTTGGTGCAGAGGCCGCAGAGGGCAGCAGATCCCGGTCCCCAGCATCCAGATCACAGGGTCCAAGCTGGTGGACATTGGAGACCATCAGAAGCCGGAAGTAGCAAGTGTCAGCCCGCATCCTGGTTGTGGCTGCCCAGCGGGGCACAGGGCCAGGGTCTCCCTGTTGGTGGTGGTGTGGCCGGGACAGGCCCAGAGGCGGAGTCCAGCTGTAGATGTGTCCCTGGGGCTGGAGAATCAGCCCTGACCTTGAGCAGCCCTCGTCCTGGGGACAGCCTGTGTGTCCCCTCCAGTCTCTGTCCCCTCTTCCTTTCCCCCTCTGCTTTCCCTAGTTCCAGCTCATAGAGGGCAGAGTGTGGACATAGCCTCGGACTGTGCTGTAGGTGGGGGGCAGCTGGCCCAGACTCTCAGCTGCTTAGCCGGGAGTCTGAAATCCAGGAGGCTCTGAGACCCTGAAGTGCTAGCCCAAGTTTGACAACAAAACTCACTTCGCGGCAAATCCTGTTCTGTGGTGCCACGAGGCTAATTTTGTGTTCATTTATCTTAGGTACAGGCCTCATATATAGGTTTCCTGCTGGGAAATTCTTAAGGGCCCATCCCATCCAAAGCTGTGCACGCGGTGTCTGTCCTTTTTTAAAGTCTGGAACCTTCTGCGTCCTGACTGGTGTGTGGTGCCTGGGTGCTGGGCGCAGGGTGATGCACCATGTCCCCGGCTTTGAGGAAGCCCTGGCCTTGCCCTCCTTCCCACGCCGGGTGGCGTGGATGCCACCGCCCTGCTAAGCTGCCATCTCCCGTGCCAACAGAAACTGGTCGCCAACACCCCGCGTTTTAAAGTCTGCGCTTTAGCCAGTGCTGCCCAAACCTCCTGCTCTTGGCCTTGGCCTGGCAGTGGCAGCGTGGGGCAGGGATGAAGGCTGTCCCCGAGGTGGGAAGGCCCCAGGATGCAGCTGCCTGCTCGGCCCTCTGACGACCTTCAGGCTGAGCATGGTGCTGCCCAGACAGGGGCCCCTCTCCATCGCCCCCTGTGCCCCCGCTGGCCCTCTGTCTCAGGGTCCTGTCCCCGAGGTGCTGGGGACGGTCCTCAGTCCACATCCCAGCGTTTCCCTGGAGGAAGGCTTGGTGGGTGCAGGGGAGCGTGCTGTGCTGCCTCTGTGGGTCAGTCCTGGGCTCGGAGCTGGCCCATGCGCTGTGTGGGTGTCGCTCCAGGGCTCCCGGCCCCTCCTCTCCGTGGAGCTGTGGTGCGGTGGCTGCGGTGCTGCTCCTCGCCTTGGTAACCGGGATGCTAGTGAGCTCCTGCAGCTCTAAAAGCAGAGCTGTTGGATCCGTGGGCTTTGTGTGCGCAGCACTGGATCCTGGGAGGGGGCACCCGCTGCCTTGCTGAGCTGTACCCGCCTCCCTCTTCCCGGAGCGTAGCTAGTGCCAGGGCAGCTTTGTTTCTTGGTGGGCCAGGCGGGGTGGGAGCCCTGTGACCCACCAGGAGCAGGCCAGAGTGGAGCCGAGGTGTCCTCTCCACACAGGCCCTGCCCTGCGAGTCTCAGTTCCCGAACTCCACGGTAGACCTGGAGCCTGGTGTGTATCTCTGAGCCTCCGTGTCCGTCTACCCAAAGGACGCCCATGCCGTCCCTGACTTACGAGGCAGAGCAGAGACTATCCTGCTACAGGCTACTCCCGGAGCACAGCATTCCTCTCTCCACCATGGGTCCTGCTTGTCCCGTGTGTCCTGATCCCAAAGAGGGACGAGTGGCCTCTGAACCCAGAGTCCAGTGCTCAGTGTCCTCCTCTGCTCCCCGGTCCTTCACATCCGCTCATAGCTGGAAAGACGGCTGGCCAGCGTCCTGGGGGAACAGTGACGGGGATCTCTTCTCACCCTAGGAGATGGCAAAGGCCATCGCTCTGCCTCTTGGGGTGAGCTTGGCTGGGCACCATGTCACGTGCCTGTCATCCCAGCTCTTCAGGGGCTGAGGCTGGAGGACTGACTGAACCCAGGAGTTTCATACCAGCCTGGGGATATATAGCAAGGCCTCATGTCTGAATAAAATTAACAAATTAAAAACACACAGCTGGGCATGGTGGCGCATGCCTGTAATCCCAGCACTCGGGAGGCTGAGGCAGGAGGATCATTGTGATTTCAAGACCAGCCTGTGAGCTCAAGGCCAGCCTGAACTGCATAGTGAGACCGTCTCAAAAAGGCAAAAACCAAAACAACAACAAAAAAACCCTACACGGACTGAAAAGATAAACAGTAAAAAAAAAAAAATAGTTGGGCATCCTGGGCAGCTGGGTCCTGGCCGTGGCTTCATGCCCCAAGCCTGGGCCTGGGCAGAGGGAAGGGCCCATGTGTGTGTCGCTGGCCTGAGATGGGCAGGGGGCGACCTGAGAAGGTGGCGCCTCCTGCTGGCCTCGGTCCAGGCCTGAGATGGCAGCTGGGCTGGGCCAAATATAAAGCTGAACTCAAACCCCTTTACATCTGGCCTTTGGGGTGATTTGCTTTCTTAAGTCTCACACCTTGTTCCCTTCCCACCGTCCCATCACGAGTGATGAGTAGACCTGACGCCTCGCCCTGCCCACCCGGAGTGGTGTCTGCAGAGGTCAAAGGTTTGCAGAATTTCCTTAGCTAAGGAACTTTGGTTTAAAGACAACCTCTTCAAAGGACCGACCATTAGATGAAGCAGAGGAAGGTGCTTTGGTGGAAGGAGGGGCTGGACACCTCCCAAATCCAGCAGCCCACAGGGCCTCAGGACTCACCCCAGAGTTAGGTTCCAGGAGCCGGGAGCAAGGTCCATGCCAGGTGCAGGGAGGTCAGAGCTGTGTCCAGCTGCCCCTGCCGCTCCCCTCCTGGAGAGATGGAGTGGGCTGCTGCTGGCTTGGGTTTGGGCTGGGAGAGCGCTGGACAAAGGCCCTGTGGCAGGCATGGGCCATGGGCCTGGCCACCATCCCCAAGGAGGCAGAAGGCCAGGGGAGAGCTGAGGCGGCCCCCTCCTCCCTGAAGGCACTGTGCCCAGGGAGGGCTGCGCCCCCGCTGCTCCTTGCTCTCCCCAAGGGCTCAAGCTGGGCTCAGGGCACAAGGTGACCTGCAGGTCGCATCTGAAGTTGCCCCTCAGCCCCCAGAACAAGGGACCACACCTGAGAACGTTGTTGCCGAGCAGGTACCACCACTTCCCACTCGGCTCCAGAAGGACCCCTGGGCACAGGCCCCTCCCTCAGGCCCTTTCTAGAGACCTTCGACCTCATACACTGACGGGAGGCCGGTGCCCTTGTTGAGGTCCTCTGGCTGCTCTTTAGGGAGAACCCTGGTGGGGACTCGGACTGCCCTCCTGTGCAGGTGGAGGAGGGAGCCCTGAGCGAGCCTGGGGCTCAGCCACACAGAGGCCATGGGGCAGCCTCCTTCCCAGCTGGGCAGGAGGGGCAGGAGGCTGAGCAGAAAGACTGAGCAATTTGGGGTGTCCCTGGGCCTCAGGCTCAGCCCCACTCCCAGCCAAGCCTTGGTTTTGCATTCCCAGAGCAATGAATGACATTGGGGACTACGTGGGCTCCAACCTGGAGATATCCTGGCTGCCCAACCTGGACGGCCTGATGGAGGGCTATGCCCGCAACTTCCGGCCAGGCATTGGAGGTGAGGTGGGGCGGGGCACCCCGGCTGGCAGTGGTGTGGTCTGCTGGGCTCTGGGCTGGTGGAAGGGTCCCCAGGCCTGGGTAGCAAGTGGGCAGCAGCACCAGACTCCCTGCACAGCCGCTGGGCTGGCTGGGGATGCTGGGCTGGGGGCCCTTTCCTGCTGACCTCAGCCCCCTGGGCCCTGCTCCTTCTCACAGGGCCCCCCGTGAACGTGGCGCTCGCCCTGGAGGTGGCCAGCATTGACCACATCTCAGAGGCGAACATGGTAGGTGCCGCCAGCCCCGCACCCGTGCTGAGTGCCGGGCGGGAAGGGAGTGCTGAGCAGTGTCCCTCCCGCAGGAGTACACGATGACCGTGTTTCTGCACCAGAGCTGGAGGGACAGCAGGCTCGCCTACAATCACACCAACGAGACCCTGGGCCTGGACAGCCGCTTCGTGGACAAGCTGTGGCTCCCGGACACGTTCATCGTGAATGCCAAGTCTGCCTGGTTCCACGACGTGACGGTGGAGAACAAGCTGATCCGGCTGCAGCCTGACGGCGTCATCCTGTACAGCATCCGGTGAGCCCGCGCTCCGGGGCCCAGCTGCAGGGCTGCTGGCAGGAAGCCCACAGATGGGCTTTTTGTCCCATGTGGTGCCTTTTTGTTTCTTTTTCAGAGAAAGTTTGGGTTTCCTTTGAGCGTTTCGTCTTTCGTTTGGTTATCTGTGGTGCTGGGGACTGAACCCAGGCTGTGCCCTGAGCTGTGCCCTCGGCCTGTTTTTATGTTTTGTTTTGAGACAGGGTCTCACTAAGTTGCCCAGGCTGGGCCCAAACTTTCAGTCTTCCTGCCTCAGTCGCCCAGAGCGCTGGGCTTATAGGTGTGCACCACCCTGCCCAGCTTTCTTGTTTTTAAGTTGAGTTAAGTTCATGCAGTTTAATTAAAGTGAAGAAAAAAAAAATAAAGTGAAGAGCTCAGTGGCATTCAATATGTTCACCATGCTGTGTATTGTTTGTCACCTTTATTTATTCCTGAACATCTCATCGCCCTGTACCCAACAAACAGTCACTCTTGTCTCCCCATCCTGGAAGTCCCTGGCAACCATGAATTTGCTTTTGTCCCCTGGAGCTGCCTGTCCTGAGCATCTCCTGGAGGTGGGTTTGGACTTATGTGGTCTTTTGTGCCTGGATTCTTTCACTGGGCACTATGTTTCCAAGGCCTACCTGTGGGGCGATGCTTGTGCCTCCTTCCTTTTCATGGCCGTGTAATACTCGCTTACATGGGAGGACGTGTCTCCTTATCTGTTCCTCTGTTGATGGACATGTGGTTGTGTGTGCTCATGGCTGTGGTGACAATGACGCTGTGAACACATCTGTGTCGGTGTTTGTTTGAACATCCACTTTTCAGACACATGCCTTTAAAAAAAAATAGAGTAAGCTGGCAACATTTTAAAAATTTAAAAACCAAGAACTGAATGCCTGGCCTCCCTGCAAAATGAGCCCACATGGCACTTGAGCCTTTTGTGGCTGTCAGCTGTCCCTTGGGCCAGGTGTGGGGAGCCCGGCTGGTCCCTGCCCTGCGAGCCCCAGCTTGGGCAGTGAGGCATTTTCAAGGATAAAGCGTCCGAACCCGGTCCTTGCAGCCTAAAGGAAGAGTCACAATCCCTGTGCACAGCTGGGTATTGAGGCTCGGGCCTCACATGCTCAGCAAGAACTAACCACACCCCCAGCTCATCAGCAGTTCTCACCCAGACGCCAGGCAGCTTGAAGCCCAGGCTGAGGTGGCCGGATGCAGGTGGTCTCGGTGGGCGGGGGCTCCCCTGGGGGTCTCTGCCCTCTGGGGGTGGCTGCCGGGACTCACATGCATGCCCATCTGTGCAGAATCACCTCCACGGTGGCCTGCGACATGGACCTGGCCAAGTACCCCATGGACGAGCAGGAGTGCATGCTGGACCTGGAGAGCTGTGAGTGGCCCTGGAGTCCTGGGCCCCCGGCAGCCTGGGCACGGCAGGCTGGGCAGGGAGGATGCTAGGACACAGACCCCCTGAGTATGGTCGCCCCACTTGGCCACCGTCTGCCCCATCCACCTGTCCCCAAGCTGTGGGATGTGCTGGGTCCTGCCATGTCCCCACCAGGCACCCCACCTGGACGGGGCTCCTCTGCTGGGGCTGCAGGGCCCGGATGGGTTAAGGCCCTGCAGCCCCCGCTCCTGTGGGCTCCCTACAGACGGCTACTCTTCCGAGGACATCGTCTACTACTGGTCGGAGAACCAGGAGCAGATCCACGGGCTGGACCGGCTGCAGCTGGCGCAGTTCACCATCACCAGCTACCGCTTCACCACAGAGCTCATGAACTTCAAGTCGGGTAACGGCCCTCCCAGCGCACGCGCTCAGACTCCCTCCCTGCACCGCTGCCCACTTGAGGGCTGAGGCGAGGGCAGCCCTGGGCCGGGTGCTGTGGGGTGACGTGGCCAGGTTCACCCTCTCATGCACCGGCCCTTGCTCTTCCCAGCAGTCTGGGCTTGGGGGAACTGAAGGTGTGTTTTAGGTCCTACCACCCCAGGACTGCAGGGCTCCGGGCCAGGCTTCCTGGGCCACCACGTCCCCCAGGCCGCAGCTGTACACAGGGAGGGGCCCTTGGGGCCAGCACCGTGGCCCATCTGCTGTGCAATGGGTGGAGGGAGGGCCGGGTTCCAGGGTCTCCCTCCTGAGCCTCGCTGTGGGCCAGTGCTGGCCACGTCCTCTCCTCCTGGGGCTGATGGTGGCTGTCCCCACAGCTGGCCGGTTCCCCCGGCTCAGCCTGCACTTCCACCTGCGGAGGAACCGGGGTGTCTACATCATCCAGTCCTACATGCCCTCTGTCCTCCTGGTCGCCATGTCCTGGGTCTCCTTCTGGATTAGTCAGGCAGCAGTGCCCGCCAGGGTGTCTCTAGGTATGGCTGGGGCTTACCTCTTCCTGGGGGCTGGTGGGAGGGCCACACAGTGAGCAAGACCCCCACCCCAAGCCAAGTGGGGTAAGGGCTGCAGACCCTGGTCCAGGACCCAGCTGCTGAGCTGGGTGGGGAGGGGAGACTGGGACATCCATGACGACCCATCCTTGTGCCTGTTCCCCAGGTATCACCACCGTGCTGACGATGACCACACTGATGGTCAGTGCCCGCTCCTCCCTCCCACGGGCCTCGGCAATCAAGGCACTGGACGTGTACTTCTGGATCTGCTACGTGTTCGTGTTTGCGGCTCTGGTGGAATATGCCTTTGCCCACTTCAATGCCGACTACAGGAAGAAGCGCAAGGCCAAGGTCAAGGTCACAAAGCCTCGAGCAGAGGTGAGAGGTGGGTGGGCACAGGAGGGCTGCAGTGCCGGCAGTCTGGGGAGGTGACATGGCCCTGGACGCCCAGCTCGGCCTGCTGCAGGCCACAGGGACATGGCCGAGGGCAGAGTGGGGCAGAGCTGGGCACCTGGCAGCCAGGGCCCTTGGGGCTGCGGTTGGTCCTCAGCCTGTCCCCCACCCCATGCAGATGGACGTGAGGAACGCCATCGTCCTCTTCTCTCTCTCCGCCGCTGGGGTCACCCAGGAGCTGGCGGTCTCCCGCCGCCAGTGTCGTGTCCCTGGGAACCTCATGGGCTCCTACAGGTCGGTGGAGGTGGAGACAGGGGAGATGAGGAAGGAGGGGGCACCAGGGGGCCGCGGGGGCATCCGAGGCCGGTTCAAGCCCATCGATGCAGACACCATCGACATCTACGCCCGGGCTGTGTTCCCTGCGGCATTCGCGGCTGTCAACGTCATCTACTGGGCAGCCTACGCCTTGTGAGGGCAGGTGGTGGCCTGGAAACAGCCAGGAGAAGGACGCACCCCGTGCCCACTTCAAGGTGGATGGCCAGATGAGAGAGGAAGCCCTGGCCTGAGCTTTGCCACGCCCCCTGCCCGCAAGAGCAGCCCGTGCCCTGCAGACCCAGCAGCTCTGTGCCAGGGGCAGAGCAGGAGCGGCTGTCCCCGGGGAGCGGTGCATTTTTAGACTCAGACCGATCAGATTTCTAGGCCTTTGCTCTGTGGGATCAGAGAGCAGGAGGCAGCGGGGGCGGCGGCATCCTCGGGCCTCTTTGGTCCCAGCATGAAATAAAGCCTTGACCTGGTGGCCTGTTCCGTCTCTGTCACTGTAGCTGGGTCTGGCCACGGCGTCATGCTGGAGGGGTGGGATGTGGGGGAGTCTGGGGTGGACACATGCCTCTGCAGGGGCAGCGGTGGGACCCGGTCCCGAGATGCAGCTGTGCTCGCCAGAGTGGGCTGAACGCAAGAGAGGAGCCTGCGTCAGGTACTGGTGCCCTTCTTGTCCCTATCCGTGGGCTGGGCTGGGAGCAGGAGCTGGGTGATCCCAGAGTCCTGTGCCTTTGAGACACCTTCCTGAAACCCTGGGGTGGGGTCAGGCTCCGAGGCGGGACAGCCAGGGCCTGCAACCAGGAAGCTGAGCCACACGGCAGGTCTGGAGCACGGAGGATGGCAGAGGTACAAGGTGTCGCCACCCCTCGGTCCCCAGGCCTGGGGGCCCACTGTGCCTTCTTGGAAACTAGGGGCCACTAAGGGCCCCATAATCACCCCCAGCTCCCTCCCATCTGCTGCTCCCACTGCCAAGCACCTGGGGCGACAGCACTGCAGCCCAAGGACCCTGCAGCCATCAGAGCACATGACAGCAGCTCTAAATAAGGAGTCCAACTTTTCCATGACACTGGGCCCTTCCACACTGGAGAGAGGAAGGGTACAATTAGCGGGACAGCTGTTCATCTGGGTCTGCTGTAGGGTCAGCCGGCCAGCACCAGCCAAGGCTGGCCTGAGAGGGGGCCGTGGGCAGCCTACCAGGGTGCTGCTGGGCCATGCTTGCTGTCCTGTGGTACTGCTCATAGGGGGCTCTGCTGGGCATGGGCATCTCTCCAGGGTTGCAGGGCCACCTGCTTCCCAAAGGACAGTGGAGGGCATCAGCGCTGCTGGTCAGACCACAGTCTAGTGCTTACCACTTCTCCAGCTCGAAGACCGTCCTCCAGGGGACCCCTCCTTGCACCAGCGTCCTGCAGGCCCTGCAGAAGGACAAGGCTATGAAGCATGGGGCAGCCCAGCCTGCTGTGTGGCCAGGAGCTGCAGAGAGCAGATGGCCGGGCAGGCGCAGAGCGGATCTGGGTCAGCTGGGGCCCCAGGCACCTCCTGACAGCAGGGTGTGTGGGTCCTGTCCAGCTGCTTGGGCCAGTACAGGACATCCAGGGCAGGGTCCCCGCAAAGCGGCCCCTCTGCTCAGTACACCACCCTGCAGGGTGGCTGCTTCCTGCCTCCATGGCCCCCAAAAGTTGTCCAGGGGTGGGGGACCCACGCCCCAGAAGCACACATGGTAGCCACTCAGCTGGGCCCCAGGAAAGCAGGCAGGGTCAGCCCCGGCTCTGGGCCCTTGGGAGGGGAGGGTGAGTTCCATTCTGTGGGGTCGTCGGCTCCCCTGGATGCAGAGGCCCCCAGAAGGATGCAGCTCCCATGCCAAGCTGGCCCCAGCCACTACTGCCCCGCCTGCCTCCTCACCCATGGCTGCCCTCTTTCTGCCACACATACCCACGGGGAACTATTTAAAGCTGGCCTTTGCGACTGCCTCAGGCTCCCACGCAGCCGGGCCCACCCGGGCAGCAGCCTTCGCCTGACGCCACAGCCGGCAATCGCTGCCTCAGCCTGCAGGCTGCTATTTCTGCCCACATGTTTACAGGGCCAGGGGAGGGCGGTGAGGGCTGTGGCGGCTCAAACACGAGTTCTCTTCTGTGACAACTGGGCGGACCGAAGTCTGTACCTGACAGGAGCTGGCAGGCCCTGGGCAGGGGTCTGTGGGCACAGGTGCCTTGTGCCAGCAGGGACAGGTCTCTAGGGGTTGGTGGCTTCCTCTCACTGCTCAGGTGAATGTGTGCTGGGAACAGGGACTTCTGATGCTCTTGGAGCCGGGACCCAGTGTGCCAGGGGATGGCGCCCCAGTTTCCTTGGCAAGGGCGGGATGTGCCAACCTTGCTCTTCCTTCCCATGAAGCAGGAGGGCCCTGTGCCATGTGGGCCACACAGAGGGGAAGCCTTGCTGGGTTCCTCAAGCAGAGCCCAGAGGGCTGGGTGCAGGGAGGCTCTTTGTGGGTGTAGGCGTTAGTTTCCTAGCACTGCAATAACCAAGTGCCACCAACAGAGGCTCCAGAACAACAGACGCTGCTGCCCGAAGTCTGGAGGCCACAGCGCTGAGTCCAGGTGTGGGCAGAGCTGTGGCTTCCCAGCCTCCTCTGCGGCTTCCCTGGTTCCCACGCCACATGGCACCTGTCTCTGCTCCCTTCTGCTGCCACATGGGCGCCTGCCCTTGAATTTAGGGGCCACCTGCCTCAGCCTGGTCTCATCTTAAGTGGTCACTTCTGCCAAGACCCTATTTCCAAGTAAGGTCGTGTCCTGTGGTTCGGGGTAGGGTGCATCCCGGGGGTGCTGTTGGACAGCCCAGGGGTTCGCCCCAGAGCCAGACGCCAGGGAGCATGGAGAGATGAGAGAGACAACTGGGTATGTCTTCAGGACCCGGGCAGAACCCCAGTCCCACACGACACCTGCGCTCCACCCCCAGCTGGGCCAAGGGCTGCCCTTGAACCGAGCAGACGGCCCTGGTGCTGGAGGCAGCACAGCCAGCAGGCACCAGTCCCCCTCAGCTGAGTCCCTACCAGATGCGGCCTGATAGGTACCAGGCTCCATCCTGCCTCCCGCACCGCTTACATCTGCTCAGGCGCCACATTTAGTTTGTCCCTGACTGGCTCTTCAAGGTGGTAGCTGTCATAGCAACAACAGTCACCCAAAAAGGCAGCAGAGGGCTGCTGGGGACACGCTGGCTGTCCCCACGCCTGTGGGTTCCCCTGCAGCCTGGGACACTCAGACTGTTCACCCCCAGTCCTGGCCAGCATTCCTGTGGACTTAGGGACCTCTGCTGCGCTGCCTGGCACGTTGGAGACAAGCCTGGGTCACCCGCCTTCACCCTCCCTGTGCAGAGGCACGGGACTTCTGGAGGTGTGTTCTCACATTCCCCCTCAGCTGTCCACCCGCTGGGGGCTCTGGGACGAGCTGCAGCTCTCCGAGCCCACTTTGTGGGCTGGTGGACCAAGGGACATTGGCTTGGTCTCTTTCTACGCTGATATTTCTTACACCACAGGTCTGGGGACAATGAGAGGATGCTGGCACATGGACGTGGGGACCATGGTGTGACCCCAGTGTGGGTCACAGCCCTATTTATTGATGGTGAGATAGATAGGGGCCAGAGGTCTGTGTGTCATTTGGTCTCCACCAGCCACTATGTGCACATGGGCAATGCGACATTTTGGGTCTGTGGTGTCACTGGCACCTTGGACCTTGTGTCCAGAAGTCCTTCAGACTGTGGGTCACTCTGCTGAATGGTGGTCAACAAAGGCTCTGGGTCAGACACATGTGAGTGTCACACAGCTCTCCTTCCAGAAGACCAACCCGCCTCTTCAAACAGAGGCCTGGGTCTGAGATGAAGCTCAGATGCAGGAAGGAGTCCGAGTCAGTTTTCCATCATGGCTGTTGACACTGGCCTTCTCTTCCCGGGACTCAGTGGTTTCTGGTTGTGCAGGTCAAGGATCTCCCACACACCCACCAGGCACTCGCCCATCCCACCGTGGCTGTTCTGTGAGACGCAGACCCTGCCTCCCTCCCCCTCCTCCATCCACAGTAACCACAGCCTCCTTAGCCTCGACAGTCCACTGGGACCCAGGGAGCATTTGCCCAGTCAGCACAGGTCCCGCCGTCAGCCGGCAGCGAGCTTCTCCACAACGCCAGCGCTCTCTCGCTGCCGCTGGTCCTGTCTTCTGGGTCCTCCTGCGTTAAATCCTTAGGCACCAGCGACTGCTCCCCTCAGTAGACCCCCTCCCCATCCAACACGCTCCAGGCCGCCCTGCGTGGACCCCAGCTCCCCACTGCGACTTGGGTGATGGGCAGCAGGTTCTGTGCATCCCGCTCAGGCTAGGCTGAGGCTTGTCCTCACCTGTTGGTCCTGGCTGGAATGGGAGAAGCTGGGGTAGATTTTGAAGAGCGCATGTATCCCCCAAACGATGTCCCTGGAAAGATCTCACGTCTTGACCTCGGTACCCGTGAAGGGCACCCTACTTGGAAATAGGGACTTCAGAGATCAAAGTTAAGGTGAAGTCAGCCAGGATTAGAATGAGCCCTGGTGTCCCTCTAGGAGCAGACACAGACATGGGGAAGACAGAGGTGGAGAAGGTGCTGTGTCTCTGTCACACAGGTCACACAAGCTTGCCAGCAAAATGACAGACGCCCCCTTGCAGGGTTCTGCAGTAACCACCGGCCACACTAGACCCCAGCGGACTTCCAGTCACCAGGACCGTGTGAGATGATAAATTCCAGTGGCTGAAGTCGTCCTGTCTGGTCATTTGTGTCTCTCAAGCTATTTCCAGGACTCTGGACAGGGCTGCTGCCTGTCTTCCACCAGCCAGGTTGGACGGGCACAGCGTCCCGGGGAAGTTCATGGGTGGCTCCAGCTCTCAGGGACCTGTTGTTCAGGTCTGCGGGTCCTCTCTTGGGTCTGTCAGCACCGTCTGCTCCGGAGGTGGAGATTCTCTCAGCATCCCTCGAGGACTCTGACCTTCACCCCCCGGCGTCAGGGATGAGACCTATGCAGCCCAGTTGTCTCCACTGGCATCCTGCCAGCAGGGTCCCACAGTGTTGTGGTACCAGTGAGATCCACACCTGTCCTAACAGTCTGCTTTCCCGGCTACTTCCAGAACCAGGGGCTGGGGATTTAGCTCAGTGGCACAGCGCCTGCCTGGCAAGCGCAAGGTCTTGAGTTTGATTCCTGGTACAGGAAGAAAAGACAAAAAAAAACAAAAAAACAAAACAAAACAAAAATCCAGAACCAAAGGGCTTCGTTTGGGCAGAGTTTGAGAGAGGAGTTCCGAGCCGGTGTGGAAGGAGGAAGTAGGAGGATCTCAGGAGCAGGAGGGAGGTTGGGGGGCCAGTGAGATCCCCGTGGAGCAGCTGTGTCCCCATCACTCAGAACTCTCCTGGGACAGTGGGCTGGCGTGGGTTCACCAGTGACACCACCACCAGACATTTCCAGACTGTAGGAGTGGAAATGTCAGCTCCCGCCCTTGGGCTGCTTCTGCACCAGGTCAGAGAAAGTCGTGAGGCAGGACGGTAATGGTGGCGAGGGAGTCTGGAAAAGACACTGCCGTGTGCTTGGGACTGTACTCATTGCTCCGAAAGAGAGGGGTGGTGGGCCGGGCCACCAAAAGCATCCACATCCACACGGCTGTGGATTTCCAGAACAACACAGGTACCTGCAGGGGAACGTGAGCTCACATCTCTTTCTTGCCCGAGTCCTGCTGGGCTGAGAGGGCCTGTAGCACAGCGCAGCGGGCCGGATGCAGGCTCTGCACCGAGGCTGGTGTGGGTCTCCCCACCCACTGACTCCTACGCAATGAGGCCAGGGCAGCCCACTCCCCTGGCGAGGGGACAGCCAGGGTGGAGTGTTGAGCCTGCCCCCAGGCCCACCGAGGCTGAGGAAGGGGACTGGGAGGAGGCCAGGGGGGCAGGCGAGCGCCCCACGGTCAGGATTGTTCTGTGTCTGGCAGCTTTCCTCCAGGTGCTCCTCAGGGATGTCTGTGGGCTGAACAGCTTGGAACGGCAGCTTGGGCCCAGCCCTCCTTGTGAACTCCAGGTGTGGCACCATCTGGGGGCGTCCCTGTTGCTCCTGGAAGGATTTGGGGGCCAGGCCTGGTGGAAAGGCACCCACACACTTGCTGTGCTGCAAGGGGTGAAATCTGTCTCTCACAGTGCCATGAGGCTGAGGCAGGCAACCGTAAACTCTCAGGTCTCCAGAGCGCTGAAATCCTCAGCCTCAGGGGCTGCTGTGGGTGCTGTGGGGATGCCTAGCACAGTCACCAGCCCGTCCCAGCCGTCCACCGCCGGGTCCAGCCAGGGTCTGGCGGACTCTGGATCCACGGAGCCCCCCAGGCCACTGCCTCTCCCCTCCACACCGACACCCTCCGTCATAAGGCTCAGAACTGAGCCAGTCTGAGTGGTGGGTTCAGAAGCCGACTTCCTCCCGCTGCTGCATCAAGGGATTCTGGGAAGGGGACACAGTCTCTCTGTGCTGTGTGGGTTGTAAGGTTTCTGACCGCTCCTCCCAGCATTCCTGGGGGGGCTAGGGCCTGCCCAGCTCGGGGCACGTCCTCCCCTGGACTTGGGGTGTCAGGGGAAAGGCTCTGCCTGGGGCTCCCACAGCCTCGAACCCGGTGGCAGCAGCTTCGTTTGCCCCTTTCCTCACAGAACAGACCGTGAGGCCGTCAAAAAGTGCTGCCCGTCTCCCAAGTCTGGCACGGAGCCAGCCAGCAGGGCGCAGAGCTTGGCAGGCTCCATGCACTCGGGAGGACAGAGCAGCGAGGAGCCCGAGGCCCAGCTGGTGCCCCTGGCCTGCTCAGCAGAAGCCTCTGTGCCAGAGGGCCTTGCCCCTCATGTGCCCCCCACTCCAATAAGCACCATGGCTTCATGGGCTTCCAACCTGGAGCCGGAGCACATCCCCACCCAAGGACTCCATGCTGCCACAGGACAGGGCTGGGCAGCCTCACTCAAACGCCGCGCTGCTCCCCTCCACCACACAGCTCTTGGGGACCCCTGCTGCGCTGTGCCCGGAGGTGGACAGGTGCCCAGGGAAGGTTTTATAGCACGGTGGGGCACGTACCCACTCCCTGGGGACAGTAGAGACGCCAGCAGGTGCCGGTCCTGTCTGTGAAGGACAAGGTGGCCAGCAGGGTCAGCAGGCCTCAGGTGGTGAGGTCTCAGGGCACTTGGCACGGGAAGATGGGGCGCTTTCCGAGGAGAGCAGTGACCGGACACAGCCAGGCTGCAAGGCCTGCAGGCCGAGGCCTCCCTGCGGGGCAGGCTCTGCCTGGCCATCTGCTGCTGCTGCCGGGCCAGCGCCACCCAGCAGGGACCTGGCCACTCTGTCCTGGCAGAGCTGCTGTGGCCTGGCCCGCTTGAGTGCACGGCACTTGCATGTGTGTGTGTGTGTGTGTGTGTGTGCTCGTGTGCGTGCGCACAACTTGGCCACAGGAGCCTGTGGGTGACCCTCTGTCTCAGAGGCCACAGAGCTGCTGGTCAAGTGGGGCCCACTGTGGACCTGGGCTCCTCTCTGCGGCTGGGCCGGTCACCTCCCACCCTGGACTTGGAGCCACCTGCAGAGGACGTCGAGTCACAGAGCCGCCTGCTCACAAGTCTGCCTCCCCGGGCGACATGGGCACCTTCAAATCTCCAGATGCCCTCTGCCAGGCTACTTCCTGAGGACAGTCCCTGAAGGACAAAGCCCGGTGTTTTTTGCATCCGCAGCCTGCAGGCCTGACCCCTTGCAGCTCCTCATGGGGCCAGGCCCGGGCCCTGCCGGGAAGCCAGGGCAGGCGGGGCTCAGTCAGCAGCCCCTCAGCAGGGCTCTGGGACAGACAGGGCGGTGTCCCTGAGCCCGGTTTCAGCTCTGCCGAAGGGTGGAGGCCTCCCCTGCGCGCAGTGGTATCTCCCTGTAGTTGTTCAGTTAAAGCGACTATTTTCACCAGGCGAAAATAGCGCTGCTCCGCGCGTGCACGCGTTGCCATGGCGACGTGGTTCCGCGCTGCCTCTTCAGCCTCCCATGGGTTGTTTAACCCATGTTAAACAACCCGGGGCCCACGGGAGGAGCCGCGGGCAACTGGCCAGCGTGGTTCCGCGCTGCCTCTTCAGCCTAACATGGGTTGTTTAACCCATGTTAAACAACCCGGGGCCCACGGGAGGAGCCGCGGGCAACTGGCCAGCCTGTCCCCAGCCCGGGTCCTGTCCGCAGGGACAGAACTGCCTCTCGGCAGCACACCAGTCCAGAGACGGAGAGAGGGGGCGCCCTGCCTGGTCGCCCAGGCCCTGCCCCTGCAGATGAGCAAGCCTAGGGCCGGAGTCCGGGGGCCCTAGGAAGGTGACAGCGGGCGCTGAGTGTCCTCCAAGGGGCGACTCGGTGCGCGGCTGCGGGGTGTGGCCGGCGCCTCCGCCGATGCTGTGTGGCAGGTGCCGCCTTCCCCGTCCAGCTGCAGTTGCACCCCAGCCTCTGCCCCCTCAGCCGCCTCCCCCGCCCTGGGCGGTGGACAAAGCAACCCAAGCCTTTCCTGGCTCTCCTGCCCGGGTGGGAGGAATAACCCCGCCCCCAGGCCCCGCCCCTCCCAGGGCGCCGGGGGCGCGCACGGACGGCTCTCAGACTTGGCGCGCGCGGGCGCACAGACTGAGTCCTCGGGTCCAGTCCGCGGATGTTAGCCAGGACAGGTGGCAAACGAGCACCGTTCGGGAGACGCGGGGCCCCACCTGCTGCTCGGGCCGCGGGGAGCAGGTGCAGCCGGGCCGGCACCCCAGGGCACGGGGCGGCGGGGGTGGAGCTGGGGCTGCGGT